AAAAAAAAAAAAAAAAAGAGACGGACTCACCTTGTTTGGTTCTAATTTTTGGCAGTTATGAGTAAAGCTGCTAAAAACGTTTATGGGAGGACTTTTGTGTAGACATCAGTTTTCAGTACATTTGGGTTAATATGTAGGAATGAGACTAGTGAATCAGTAAGACCATGCTTATTTTCTTCAGCAGACTGTCTTCGAAATTGGCCGCAGAATTTTCCATGCACATCAATAGTGAATGAGAGTTCACTGTCACCAGCATTTGGAAGTGTCAGTGTTTTAGATTTTAACTACTGCAAGTATTTGCTGGTGCCTCATTGTTATTTTCTTTTTTCTTTTTTCCTTTTTTTTTTTTTTTTTTGGAGATGGAGTTTTGGTCTTGTTGCCCAGGCTGGAGTACAATGGTGCAATCTTGACTTACTACAGCCTCTGCCTCCCGGGTTCAAGTGATTCTTCTGACTCAGCTCTCCAAGTAACTGATTACAGGCGTGCACCACCACATCCGGCTAATTTTTCTATTATTAATAGAGATGGTGTTTCACCATGTTGGCCAGACTGGTCTTGAATTCCTAACCTCAGGTGATCCACCTACCTCGGCCTCCCAAAGTGCTGGGATTATGGGCGTGAACTACCACACCTGGCCTTTTGATTGGTTGGTTGTTTTCCTATAGAACTTTGGGAGTTCTTTATACCTTTTGGGTACCGTTCCTTAATCAGATAGGTGTTCTGCAAATATTTTGTCCCAGTCTGCAGCCTGTCTTTTGATACTGTTAACAGAGTCTTTTCCAAAACAGTTTTACTTTAAATAAAGTCCAATTTATCGATTTTCTCATTCACATATCATGCCTTTTGTGTTATGTGAGAAAACTTATTGTCAAATCCAAGGTTATCTTTGTTTTCACAAGTGTTACTTTTAGAAGTTGAGAGCTTTGCATTTTCCATTTAAGTAAATGGTTCATTAGGAATTAGTTTTGTAAAAGATAAATTTCTATATCTAATTCATTTCTTTTTATTTGCTAATCCAGGTGTTTCAGTACCATTTGTTTTACACCACCATGCCTAATTTTTTGTTTTATTATAGAGACAGGGGTCTCCCTATGTTGCCCATGCTGGTCTCAAATTGCTGGGCCCAAATTATCTTCTGTCTGCCTTGGCCTGGGCCTTTAGTTTTGCTTTTTTTGTTTGTTTGTTTGAGACAGAGTCTCACTCTGTCACCAGGCTGGAGTGCAGTGGCGCGATCTCGGCTCACTGCAACCTCCGACTCCCTGATTCAAGCTATTCTCCTCCCTCAGCCTCCTGAGTAGCTGGGATTACAGGCGTCTGCCACCACACCCAGCTAATTTTTGTATTTTTAGTAGAGACAGGGTTTCACCACATTGGCCGTGATGGTCTTGATCTCCTGACCTCGTGATCCACCTGCCTTGGCCTCCCAAAGTGCTGGGATTACAAGCGTGAGCCACTGTGCCCATCCAGGTTTTGCCTTTTTAATACATGTCTTTATAGTAGATTTTTCTATGTTCCTAGTGCCTCTCTTGTCACCTTATGAAATCTTCTCTTGTACATTTAGTTTATTGAGTGTTTTTAATCATGAGGAGATATTGACGTAGTTATTCCAGTGGTTGCAGTTTTTTGAATTGCAGATGTGAAAAATCAGACTTGGCAATCACCTTGAGCAGTTGGATGTAAATAACTCCCACATGCTTAGCGTTCCAAAAATGGAACATCAGGCATACATAGGTTACAGCTTGTCACATGCCTTTTCTACCTCTATTAGGACATTCTTGTGGTTTTTTGTTTGTTTGTATAATTGTTTGTTTGTTTTGAGATGGAGTCTCACTCTGTTGCCCAGGCTGGAGTGCAGTGTCACGATCTCAACTCACTGCAACCTCCACCTCCCAGGTTCAAACAGTTCTCCAGCCTCAGCCTCCCAAGTAACTGGGACTACAGGCATGTGCCACCACACCCAGCCAAGTTTTTTATTTTTAGTAGAGATGGGGTTCCACCATGTTGGCCAGGCTGATCTCAAACTGCTGACCTCAAGTGATCCATCTGTCTCTGCCTTGCAAAGTGCTGGGATTACAGACATGAGCCACCACACCCAGCTTCTATCATGATTTATTATCATTACTTATTGTAAAACAAAAAACTTACCAGTTTAAGGAATTTTACATGTACAGTTGAGATAGTTTGACAAATCTATATACCTTCTCTAAGATGAATTGTATTGTATTTTGCTTTTTGCAATTATCCTGAGGTTTCGTGCATGCTGTAGTATGGGCCAAGATGTTTTTTTCTAAAACTAAATAATATCCCATTGTATGTATATGCTTACCACATTTTTTTAATCCAGGCAGCCATTAATGGATATGTGGGTGGCTGCATATCCATTATATGCAGTCGTACAGTGGTTAACTCTGTGCTTATTACACCTCGATATCTCTTAGGAGTTTCTTGTTTGCCCTTTTGCGTACTTACAGTGCCAGGTTTTTCTTAGGAATGTCCCCTTTGCCTTTCTTATCAGCATCTATCTAGCTATATTCTGACAGGATAACTGCAAAGCGAATGATTCCTGGGCATCATCGTGGATGTTTTTCTTACCTAGGTGTTTCCCCTCCTCTCTGCTTATATCTAGCATGCATGTTTTGGGTGGTCTCTGGGGGTGTGGGATTTCCCAGGGGCTCCCCCTCCTGCTCTTGGCTAGCTGTCTGCCTTCTCTAACAATGTTATAAAAGATTGCCGGGCGCGGTGGCTCAAGCCTGTAATCCCAGCACTTTGGGAGGCCGAGGCGGGTGGATCATGAGGTCAAGAGATCGAGACCATCCTGGTCAACATGGTGAAACCCCGTCTCTACTAAAAATACAAAAAATTAGCTGGGCATGGTGGTGCGTGCCTGTAATCCCAGCTACTCAGGAGGCTGAGGCAGGAGAATTGCCTAAACCCAGGAGGCGGAGGTTGCGGTGAGCCGAGATCGCGCCATTGCACTCCAGCCTGGGTAACATGAGTGAAACTCTGTCTCAAAAAAAAAAAAAAAAAGATTATACTTTGGGAACAGGCATTTTCAAGGATAAACAGTCTCAGGACTGTTTTTTTTTGTTTTTGTTTTTGTTTTTTATAGAGACAGGGTTTCACCATGTTGGCCAGGCTAGTCTCAAACTCCTGACCTCAGGTGATCCACCCGCCTCGGCCTCCCTAAGTGTTGGGATTACAAGCGTGAGCCACCACGCCCGGCCTCAGGACTGTTTCTTTAATCACCTATTGAAAGGCTTATGTTAACTTTTTTCTGCGTATTAGCTCATAGGACTTTACCATGACGGGTGCTACAGACCCACAATCCAAAGAGACCTTAGGGACAGCCCAGGCAGCTTACTTTTCTCCCTGGATTCACTGAAAACACACATTTTCCTATCCCGCTGTTGCTTTATCCCTTGTTCAGTTTTAGCATCACAATTGCTTTATTAATTAACCAGGTGTGGTGGCACATGCCTGTGGTCTCAGCTACTCAGGTTACTGAGGCATGAGAATTTCTTGAACCCAGGAGGCAGAGGTTGTAGTGAGCAGAGATCGTGCCACTACACTTCAGCCTGGGCAGCAGAGTGAGACTCTGTCTCAAACAAACAAACAAAGAAATTGCTTTATGGAAGAAAGTAAGTATAGACAGAAAGGGATCTGATGACCAAAGCAGAGAATAAATGTTTGAAGTTTACAGCATCATGGGAACTTCTTAGGAATGTAATCTAGGCCCCTAGTGCTGTCACTCTCACGCGTCCTCCTCCACACATGTGGAATGTTTCAGGACCCAGTGGCCTTTGAGGATGTGGCTGTGAACTTCACCCAGGAGGAATGGGCTTTGCTGGATATTTCCCAGAAGAATCTCTACAGGGAAGTGATGCTGGAAACGTTCAGGAACCTGACTTCTATAGGTAAGAATGACAATATTACTTCCCTCAGTGCATTAGCAAACCAATGTTTCCGGTTCATCAATGCTGTTGAGTGATCTGGCACATAGACAGGAAACACTTTGATGAATAAATGAGGCATGGCCACAGCAAATCATGAGCATAGAATCTAATAATTTTTTCACAATTTTATACTGCTTCAGGATTGTTTTTCTTTGTCTCTATTTTAGGAAAAAAGTGGAAAGACAAGAGCATTGAAGATGAGTGCCAAAACCCTGGGAGAAACTTAAGGTAATTTGCACTTATTAGATAAAACAGCGTCTCTCTATGTGATCTTAGGATATGAGAATGCGTTAAAAAGAAGGAAAACAAAGAATAAGCCCAGGGTCAAATTCATTTATTCTTAGAATATTTTCTCAAAAAACATATTTCAATGTGACCTAGGCTGAGGGCTCACTCCTGTAATCCCTATCCTTTGAGAAAGGAGATAGGAGGATAGCTAGAGGCCAGCAGTTCAAAAACAGCTTGGGCAACATAAAGAGACCACATATCAACAACAGCAAAACATTAGCTGGGCATTGTGGTATACATCTTTAGTCCCAGCTGCTAAGGAGGCTGAGGCAGGAGGATCACTTGAGCCCCCAGGAATTAAAGGCTGCCATGAGCTATGATGATATCACTGTATTCCAGCATGGGCAACAGGGTGAAACTCTGACTCAAAAGAAAAATGTCAGAGAGTATTTGTAAAATAGTTTCATGGGAATAGTATTAAGATGCCCCATATGAATATATTTTTAAATAATAGGTATGCCTGGGTCACCTTGTAGAACATGTTGTGCGGTCACCTTCAAACAATTCTGATAGGGCAGAAAGCCTACACTTTGATACAATATTAAAAATGCAAGTGCAAAAAAAAGAAAAAAAGAAAGGCCGGGCGTGATGGCTCATGCCTGTAATCCAAGTACTTTGGAGGCCAAGGCAGGCGGATCACCTGAGATCAGGAGTTCAAGACCAGCCTGACCAACATGGTGAAACCCCATCTTTATTTAAAAAAAAAAAAAAAAAAAAAAAAAAAGCAAGTGCAACACTTGTTGATGAATATAAAATTACTTATAAACAAACCATAATGCGCTTCTCATTTTTTACAGGAGTCTTATAGAAGAGAAAGTCAATGAAATTAAAGAAGACAGCCATTGTGAAGAAACTTTTACCCAGGTTCCAGCTGACAGGCTGAACTTCCAGAAGAAGAAAACTTCTCCTGAAGTAAAATCATGTGAAAGCTTTGTGTGTGGAGGAGTTGGCATAGGTAACTCATCTTTTAATATGAACATCAGCGGTGACATTGGACAGAAGCCATATAAGTGTCAACAACCTAAGAAAGCCTTCAGATATTGCCCTTCCTTTAGAACACAAGAAAGGGATCACACTGGAGAGAAACCCTTTGCTTATAAAGAATGTGGAGAAACCTCTATTTCCCATTCAAGCATTCCAAGACACATGGTAATGCACAGCGGGGATGGACCTTATAAATGTAAGTTTTGTGGGAAAGCCTTCTGTCATCTCAGTTTATATCTTTTTCATGAAAAAATCCACACTGGAGAGAAACCATATGAGTGTAAACAGTGTGGTAAATCCTTTAGTTATTCTGCTACCCTTCGAATACATGAAAGAACTCACAATGGAGAAAAGCCTTATGAGTGTCAGGAATGTGGGAAAGCATTCTATAGTTCCAGTTCCTTTCAAGCACATGAAAGAACCCACACTGGGGCAAAGCCATATGAATGTAAACAATGTGGCAAATCTTTCAGCTGGTTTCGTTCCTTTCAAATACATGAAAGAACTCACACTGGGGAGAAGCCCTATGAATGTAACAAATGTGATAAAGCATTCCATAATCCCAGATCCTTTCGTAGACATGAAATGAGTCACACTGGAGAGAAGCCTTACCAATGTAAGCAATGTGGAAAAGCATTCACATGTTCCAGTTCTGTTCGTAGACATGAAAGGACCCACTCTGGGAAAAAACCCTATGAATGTAAGCAGTGTGGGAAAGCATTCTCCTATCTTACAAGTTTTCAAACACACATAATAATGCACTCTGGAGAAAGACCTTATAAATGTAAGATATGTGGGAAAGGCTTTTATTCTGCCAGTTCATTTCAAATGCATGAAAACACTCACACTGGAAAGAAACCCTATAAATGCAAGCAGTGTGGTAAAGCCTTCAGTTATCCCACTTCCTTTCGATATCATGTGAGGACTCACACTGGAGAGAAACCCTATGAGTGTAAGCAATGCGGTAAAGCCTTCAGTTGTTCCAGTTCCTTTCGAAATCATGAAAGGATTCACACTGGAGAGAAACCCTATGAATGTAAGCAATGTGGGAAAGCCTTGGGATCTGTCAAAAGCCTTCAAATTCATGAAAGGACACATACTGGAGAGAAACCCTATGAATGTAAGCAATGTGGTAAAGCCTTCAATTGTTCCAGTTCCTTTCGAAAACATGAAAGGACCCACACTGGAGAGAAACCCTATGAATGTAAGCAATGTGGGAAAGCCTTGGGATCTGTCAAAAGCCTTCGAATTCATGAAAGGAGACACACTGGAGAGAAACCCTATGAATGTAAGGAATGTGGAAAAGCGTTCAGTGATTTCTCTTATTTTAAAATACATGAAAGGATGCACACAGGAGAGAAGCCTTATGAATGTAAGCATTGTGGGAAAGCATTCAGATCTGCCAAGTTTCTTCAAATACATGCAAGAACACACACTGGAGAGAAACCCTGTGAATGTAAGGAATGCGGAAAAGCATTTGCCTCTTTTTCTTCCCTGTATATACACAAAAGGACTCATACTGGAGAGAAGCCATATAAATGTAAGGATTGTGGGAAAGCATTCAGCTTACCTACTTCCTTTCATAGACATGAAAAGACTCACGCTGGAAGGAAACCCTATGAATGCAAACTATGTGGCAAAGCTTTCAGTTCTTTCAGTTCTTTTCAATATCATGAAAGGACTCACACTGGGGAGAAACCCTATCACTGTAAGCAATGTGGGAAAGCCTTCATTTCTTCCGCTTCTTTTCAGTATCATGAAAGGACTCACACAGGAGAGAAACCCTATGAGTGTATGCGATGTGGGAAAGCCTTCGTTTCTTCTAGCTCCCTTCATAGACATGAAAAGACTCATGCTGGAAGGAAACCCTATGAATGCAAGCAGTGTGGCAAAGGTTTCACTTCTTCCAGATCTTTTCAACATCATGAAAGGACTCACACTGGGGAGAAACCCTATCAATGTAAGCAGTGTGGGAAAGCCTTCATTTCTTCTGCTTCTTTTCGATGTCATGAAAGGACTCACACGGGAGAGAAACCCTATGAATGTACGCAATGTGGGAAAGCCTTCATTTCTTCTAGTTCCCTCCATAAACATAAAAAGACTCACGGTGGAAGGAAACCGTATGAATGTAAGCAATGTGGCAAAGGTTTCGCTTCTTCCAGTTCTTTTCAATATCATGAAAGGACTCACACTGGGGAGAAACCCTATCAATGTAAGCAATGTGGGAAAGCTTTCAGATCTGCCTCACAACTTCAAACGCATGGAAGGATTCACACTCGTTACTCTCAAGATAAATCATATAAATGTATAAATGTATGGGAAAGCCTTCCGATCTGCCAAGAGTCTTTGAATACAGACAATGAACATAAACAATTAACTGTTTATAATTACTATATACTAACAAATGTTATTCTTTTTAATTAAGAAGTTATAACAAAATATCCTGTTGCTGTCATGTACTAGATCAAGTTTATAATGTTAACATGTTATTATTTGGACATTGTGAGTCATTTCTACCATGTGGATAAAATGCCAGGCATCTTTTTCCTTATGGAAATTTTACTTTTCATGCTTACGTACTTAAATTTTTATCTCTACCCTAATTATTCATTCACAATACCAAAAGTTATCTCATGTACCTCTGAGTGCCTTCTTCCCCAAAACCACCAGTGCCATACCTGTTGTCACCAAGGGTGCAATACACCATAGTGATAAATATGACCAAAAGCCATAAATTACTATGTGATATATGAGATTTATAAGTTAGTCACATTAGTAAGAAGAGAAAAATTTTAGTTATGTTTATGATTTGAAATATGTTTTCTCACCAGGCAGGCAGATCACCTGAGGTTGGGAGTTCACAACCAACCTGACCAACATGGAGAAAATCTGTCTCTACCAAATATACAAAATTAGCCAGATGTGGCAGCACATGCCTGTAATCCCAGCTTCTCCGGAGGCTGAGGCAGGAGAATTGCTTGAACCCAGGAGGCAGAGGTTGCAGTGAGCCAAGATTGCACTATTGCAGTCCAGCTTGGGCAACAAGATTGAAACTCCATCTCAAAAAAAAGAAATATGTTGCTTTGCATAATGACCCAGAAAAAAAAAATGTTTTCTCAGCCTGATGCGATGGCTCACACCTGCAATCCCAGCACTTTGGGAGGCCAAGGTGGGAGGATCATGAGATCAAGAGATTGAGACCATCCTGGCCAACATGGTGAAACATCATCTCCACTAAAAATACAAAAATTGGCTGGGTGTGGTGGCACACACCTTGAGTCCCAGCTACTCAGGAGGCTGAGGCAGGAGAATCATTTGAACCTGGGAGGTGGAGGTTGCAGTGAGCAGAGATCGTGCCACTGCACTCCAGCCTGGTGACAGAGACTTTTTTTT